AGAGCCACGCGTGCAATTTAATGCTTGGTGACTTCCAATCCTTCAGCGTAATTGCTGCTTCTGTGCTGGGCGAGGGTCTGAGAAATCAGGGGCAACCAAGCTACACGTGGAGGTTTTGAATCTGCTGACTTCCACCTTCCTGGTCGTGGTTTGATTCAGAGGTTTTGAATCTGCTGACTTCCACCTTCCCAGTCGTGGTTTGATTCTGTTTTGCTTTATTTTGATGTGCTTCCTGCTCCTATTGAGCTTCCGTGGTGTTAACACGGGAGGTCCTCAGCCGTGGGGGACCACTCCGTCGCGGTGAGAGCGCGGATGGTTTTGGAGTTCTCTCTGGCAGTTGGAGCGGATTTGTGTGGGTGAGAGGATTGCTGTTTAATCTGGGCGGGAGCTGGGGGTTGGTGGTTCTGTTTTGTTGTCATCCCACTCCTTTCCCAAGCTTGTCATCTTTTTTACACAGCGTGGCATTTGGGATAGGGGTGGGAACATCTTGGGAAAGCTACAGAGCAGATCCGTGGAGATGCAGCCAGATACTGGAAAGCAGCTCGGGCTGCTCGTGCCTTCTCCTGGTGCTCGGTGCCGTGCAGGCTGTGATTCACCCTGTCGTTATCCAGTTGGAGCAGTTAAAGCCCTTATCGCTGGGAAGAGCTTGAAACCCTGCCCAGGGAGATGGTCCTGCTCGGAGGAGGAACGCTGCTCGGAGTGTGTGAGGTGCTGGGCAAGGAGATCTCTTGGTCTAAGTCCATCCTTCTGGCCCTGTACATCACCTGCTGAAGAGCAAACATGTTGGTAGAGAAATTCCTTTGTTCCCTTACTTCCAACTTTAGTTTATAGGATGCTTAAGCCTCAAAGAAAATCATTTTGGTAAATTCTTTTTCAAAAGCTGAGCATTGTGTGCTGTAGCAGATCCAGATGTAGCTGCAGTCAGAGTGTGCACGTCCACCTGCTCTGAGCACGGATCTTTCATGAACAGGTCTCTGCCAGGAGCTTTGCAGAAACCCCTTCCTCCTTGGTGTAGTTGAGTAAAGGTCATAATCGTACCACAGTTCTTATAATCCGCTCAAGTGTAAAGAAAGTATCACATTTTAAAATGAAAGGATAACCTGCTATTAATTTCATTTAGTGGATCCTTCTCAAGACTGTAGGGTAGGAGTGTTTTGCGACCTTGCAATGGTCATGTAACGAGCCATCCGGATGCTCATCCAGTTTAAATTTGTGGGCTCTTTCAAGCAGGAACACTCAATGCATGAAGATCATCCATATTTTTTAAAGATAAGACCAGATGTGGTGGTAGGTTGAAATGTAGCATGTCTCTTAACCTGCTACTGGAAGCTACTGGTGATGACCTTTCCATGGAAGCATTAGAGGTCCCATCACTTAAATACCAGTGTTTTATTCAGGGACAATTACCTTCACGATAACACAGTATCATGTGTGCCTGTCAATACTCTATATGCTTCAGAGTTTAAAAAGGGAGGGGAAAAAAAAAAAGTCAAATAGATGATAAATGTTGACAATGACAAATGTGACTAAAATGCAGGAGGTTGAAGATCCTTCCTTACCCTTTGAATTCATTAAAAACTGGCCGTGCCTGCAGAGTGCCACAGGGAAGGCTGAAATGGTAGTTGCAAAAAGGATACAAGTTAAAATTATGCAACTGTCTCACGTTGTACAATGTGTGTCCCTCTGTCACCTAAGGGACTTTATGATCTGGTGATGGAAGTCTGTAAATGGCTGGAAAACTTTTCTGTTGCTACCAGGGACATTTTAATTATGCAGTTGTCAGCCACGTGAGTCTGAAATACAATAGAAAGGGCTCTGCAATACAGGGCAAGGCTTTGTGTGGAGAATAAGAATACCTGGTGTTTAATCCTAATTCAACAGGTATCCTGACCTTGAACTCAAGGTGTTTATTCACCTTCAGGTACTTGAAGCATTGGCAGCAGGAGCAGAGCCTTCAGGATGCTGTTCCTTGTCTTGACCGACCACAATGGGTGGGATCGCCAAGGTCTACAAGCTTTAGAGAAGGAAAGGAGGAGGAAGGCTTTTTGGTGTTTAAAGTGGCTGTTGACCTAATAACCTGTGTAAATGAAAAGATGAAAATAAAGAAAGCAGTGAATGCAAAACTGCAGTGGTGGTTGTGCCTCAGACACGAGAAGGTCTTGTATAATGTGGTGACAGGCGGGTTGGAGCCCCCAGCCCCTGGCTCTGCCCTGGTGTGTTCTCCCAGTGAGTCCGGGGGGAAAAAAAATAATCTTTTGCTTGTGTAAGCAATGGGAAAACAAGCAGACACTTTATACTCTAGGAAGCCCAGTAAGCCTCAGGAAATTCCTGCATTCTTGATCTTATTTTGTGGCGAAGGAGTGTGCGGTGTGTGTTTGAAAGATGAGCAGGGTTGCCCTTCTCCTGCCCAGCGCCAGGGCCCCCATGAGCTGGGGCCGAGTGGGGTGTTGTTCCCCCCAACAGCCCCATCAGCTGTCGCTGCACCCCACGAAACACCGGCTTGAATTCATAGAATCATAGAATTGCCCAGGCCGGAAGGGACCTCCAAAGGCCATCTAGTCTGACCCCCCCGCAGTCAGCAGGGACACCCCCAACTAGACCAGGTTGCCCAGGGCCTCGTCGAGCCTCTCCTTGAATATCTCCAGGGAAGGGGCCTCAACCACCTCCCTGGGCAACCTGTTCCAGTGCTCCACCACCCTCACAGTGAAGAACCCTCTCCTCATCTCCAGTCTAAATCTGTTCCCCTCCAGCTTGAAGCCATTGCCCCTCGTCCTGTCACTGCAGGCCTTTCTAAACAGGCTCTCCCCAGCCTTCCTGTAGGCTCCCTTCAGGTACTGGAAGGCCGCTATTAGGTCTCCCCGAAGCCTCCTCTTCTCCAGGCTGAGCAACCCCAGCTCCCTCAGCCTGCCAGAATTCTATGGAAAAAGTGCTGATAGCGCATTTCTTACTAAAGGAAAAGGCTACTCCTCCTCGCTGCTGCTCAGCAGGAGAGCGGTGTGTGAAGTATCTCCCACCTGGAGTGGTACCACCAAACTGCAGCGCCCATCACGGTCATCCTCAAGCTTAAAAACCCCACATTTTTTCCAATATTTTTTTGTTTGTTTGTTTTTTTGTTTGGCAAGAATACCTAGGAGCCGTATTTGTATACCCTGGTCTGGCTTTTTGACTCACCAAAATAAAGGTGCATGTTTTCTTTATTGCAAATCCTGGACCCCCCAGGGGTTTGTTCCTGGAGGTGTCAGCACAATTCAAGGCAAGCGATGCTCGGGGTGTATGGCAAGAGCAAAGCACCCGCAGGCCCAGATGGTTACCCTTTTTCTGGGCAAAGGGACAGGCACACCGAGGAGGCCAAGCTGCCCTCTAATATTCCGTGTCTCAGGAATTAGCAATGAAGTAGTGGATTAAAAAAATTACCTTTGGGAAATGATCCTTCCCCGTGTTCCGTTGCGGTGGCGATGCTGGGGGTGCCTGCAGCTGCGATGCACAGACACAAACAAAGCTGCCCGTGCTGAAAACCTGATTGGTACTTATTTTATTGCTGATTCTGAATTCCGTTTGGAGCAGCACATCCCCGAAAACCTTTGGAAAGAGCAGCAGTAACAGTCAAGCAATAGCAGGCACCTCCAAAGTCTGAGCGCTCACAGACCTTTAGATGAAAGTGCATATTTTATTGTTTTCATGTTGAGTTTATTGCCTGTGTAAAAGCCAAGTAACCTTTACTGTCTGCATCACTGAATATTTCTGCATTTTTTAGACTGAGGCTGACACTTCTGCTATGTTTTCTTGCTCTCTTTGACTGTGAGCAAGTCATTTCGCTGCTCTGTCCCTCAAATTCAGGGTAAGATAAGGAGAAGAACACCCCAGCTTAAAGGGCTAAACTGGGAACTTTTCATATTTGCAAAATGTTTGAAAACTGTTTGTAAAATATTGTGTTAATACAAATAAATCTCTTCAGTAACAATTATGCATAATCCTCACAGACCTTTAGATGAAAGTGCATATTTTATTGTTTTCACGTTGAGTTTATTGCCTGTGTAAAAGCCAAGTAACCTTTACTGTCTGCATCACTGAATATTTCTGCATTTTTTAGACTGAGGCTGACACTTCTGCTATGTTTTCTTGCTCTCTTTGACTGTGAGCAAGTCATTTCGCTGCTCTGTCCCTCAAATTCAGGGTAAGATAAGGAGAAGAACACCCCAGCTTAAAGGGCTAAAGTGGGAACTTTTCATATTTGCAAAATGTTTGAAAACTGTTTGTAAAATATTGTGTTAATACAAATAAATCTCTTCAGTAACAATTATGCCTAATAATAATATTAACACCTATATCTATGTGCTTTATGGGTCGTTTTGGCATAGATATGTTACTTGCAGGTGTTTTAAGAATAAAAAATAGTCTTCCTGGAGCTAATTCCCTAATGGGAGGTGCTGTCACGCTGGCTCTCCAAAGGGGTGTCTTTATCTGTTCGGATGGCTTGGGTTATAATGAGCTGCACAGCTGGAGACTCTGCAACTGACTGAATAATCCCAAATTGGTGCCTTTGGGGAGTGCCCCAGTATGTGCAACGTCTTGTTTCTGCATCAAGAGTAGTCTGTGAAGGAATCTGATAGAAATTCCCCAAAGTGATTCTCGGAGCTGACGTGGGGCGTTGCAGCATTTGGTCCTTTGTGCAGACTGAGATTCAGGACATTTTTAGGCAGTGACCACCTCTTCTGGATGCCAGAAATGCACTTGACACTTGTAACTGATGCTCTTTGGGGCAGTAAAGCTTTCCTTGTGGATGTGTGCACTCAATCACAGGTTGTTGGGTACCTTTCCTGCCACCGGTCCATCCGAAATGCAATCACCTTCTGTCTGCAGATACGGTTAATCATAACGGAGCTTTGCTGACATATGACTAATGAGGGAACATATTATTAACTATATTTTACTGGAGAATTTTTTATGGTGTTTTCTCTAATGGGATTTTGTTTAATCTGCAGTGCTTTTATTTGTTACAGAGATCCGTGCCCAATTGGTAGAGCAGCTGAAATGCCTTGACCAGCAGTGTGAGCTTCGGGTCCAGTTACTGCAGGACTTGCAGGATTTCTTCCGCAAGAAGGCAGAGATTGAGATGGATTACTCAAGGAATTTGGAGAAGTTGGCTGAGAGATTCCTGGCTAAAACTAGGAGCACCAAAGACCAGCAATTCAAGTAGAGTATTTGCCTTTTGTTTTTGCCCCTTTTTTTCCCCCCTGGAGATGTGGTTGCAAGGGTAGGAATGCAAAAAGAGAGCAGATACAGTGAATGTAGGCACCAGCACTGTTGTGAATGTCAGAATCACATGTTTCCCAAGTTTGTGCTAAACACAGAACCCATTTCATGTCTCACCATAATTCCTGGTAGGTCATAAGTTGGCAGTAGGGAATGGAATGGTAAAAGGAGTAATTTTCTTGGGAATGTGGGCAAAACTGTACACCAAATTAGATGGAGAAAGCCAAGATTTCCTTCAGTGCCAGTGGCTTTGGTCTGTTTTTTTTAAGAGTAACTCTTCTAATCTGTTCTATGCTGTGATTTGCCACTGCAGCACTCTGTTTTTGGTGTTCTGTTTAGATGGAGAAAGCCAAGATTTCCTTCAGTGCCAGTGGCTTTGGTCTGTTTTTTTTAAGAGTAACTGTTCTAACCTGTTGTATGCTGTGATTTGCTGTTGCAGCACTCTGTTTTCAGTGTCCTACACATCCTCAGTGTAGGATTTAAGAGTGTTGTATCTCTGCTACTATCACTTTGAAACAGTAGAGAAATATGGCCAATGGTACTTGCAAATAGAGCGGTGCCATTTGGGAAGGGGAATCCCTAGATACTAAGCTGGTGGGACACAATTAAAATTTAAAGATGTCCTTATAAACAATGGTCTCACATGCTTGAAGCATCATTTACAGGTAGGTCTGACCGTGCTGCTTTGGTTGTTCTCTGTTTGAGTTGGGTGACTTTATCAAAATTACAGGTAGGTCTGACCGTGCTGCTTTGGTTGTTCTCTGTTTGAGTTGGGTGACTTTATCAGAAAGTAGAGTGATAGGACAAGGGGAAAGGGTTTAACATTGAAAGAGGGGAGATTGAGCTGAGATGTGGGGAAGAACTTGTTTGGTGTGAGGGTGGTGAGACCCTGGCCCAGGTTGCCTGGAGAAGCTGTGGCTGCCCCATCCCTGGAGGGGTTCAAGGCCAGGCTGGAGGGGGCTTGGAGCAACCTGGTCTGGTGGGAGGTGTCCCTGCCCAGGGCAGGGGGTGGCACTGGGTGGGTTTTAAGGTCCCTTCCAACCCAAACCATTCTGTGATTCTATGACTAATGCATATTGAATGTGGTTGCATGGATTTAAAGCCTTCAGATTTACTATTGCTCCTGCCTGGAGGAAGGGATGGGCTTTTCCTGGGAAGGGAGTGTAGGAGAGGACCTGGGGGTGAAGAAGGGGCTGGTACTGGCTGCATGGCACGGGGACATCAGCCCAGTGAGGAGGTGGCAGCTGGAGCTGGTCTGGGCGGCGCAGGAGCTGGTGGGGTTTTGTTGTCAGGGCAGCAGCCGGGGAAAACACGGAGCAAGAGCAGCTTTTGGGGCTGAATCATTCCTGCCTTGGACAGATCGCTCTGAGAGGATCCATCTGGGTCTGTCTCCACCCAAAGCCCAGGGTCACTTTTAGCATCGGTTGGGGCTGGCCATTATCTGTGTTTTTGTTTTTGTGTTGTTGCTGTGTTCGGAGGGATGAGGGGATGTAGCAGCTTTCCCTTTCCACCAGAAGCTCTTTTTGTGAAAGCCATTAAGCCGGCACCATTTTAGTTCCCTTTCTGCACAGCTTTGATGTCATTTACCTTTTAGTTCTCATTTAAAAATGCACATTGTGTGGCATTGTCGGGAAGGCACAGCTCCCCAGCACAGCCATTTGACAGGTTGGAGAAGAGTTACTCTGCATATTTATGGAGCTGTAATTGTCTTAAGTATTTTTTTTTCTTTTCCTTTACAGTGAAAGTGTTCTTGTAACTATAAGCTGCGCATATTCTGCATAAAACCTTTAAGATGGCACTAAAGAAATGATGTCTTGCACTATAATTTTCTTCTGCACTAGGATTGGTCTTTTTCAGTTTATTTTGTTGTTATTCCTGGTGAAAATTGAGGTGATTTCCTTTATATTACATGATACGAAACATCAGAAACGCTTTTGTACTCAGCTTTCAGTGTTGGAAAGGTGTATATACCTTACATCCTATTTTGAGATTTAGAGTGAATTTTTAATTTGGAAGGTTTTACCACAGTTGAGCAGAATCCTCCCTGGTGTCATGCTTCATGTGAATTAAATACGCTGGCTGTGCTACTGCTGGGTTTTTAACATTGTTTTGCTTCATGTGAATTAAATACGCTGGCTGTGATATTGCTGGGTTTTTAACATTGTTTAACATTTTAGCATTTGTTTGTTCTAATGTATTTTCCTCACTGCCCCCTGCCCCTGGCTTTTGAGCTGTTTGTATTTTAGATAAGCTTTACGAAGTTTGGATCTGGACAAAATTGACCTCAAATATTGTAGTTATTGAGTGTAGCCTGAATTGGACAGGTGATTTTATAAGCTCATAAAATGTTCACTTGAATTTATGAATTAAGTGTCCTTGTGTTTCTGGTCAAGTCCAGGGCATTGCCTGGAATATTCCAAAACCTGTTCCTGAGCACCAGTTTTGCTGGGCTTTGCCAAGAGGGAATAACAATGCTCGGGCTCCTGGTTGCACATCCATCAGCAGCAGGGAGCTCCTGGCAGAAAAACATCTTGTTCTTGGACTATGTTACCCCTGCAAGGTTTGAGTCCTAAATGTGCAGGTTATTAATTTGGTCAAGAGTAGAAATAAGGGGAAAAAGCAAGTCGGGGCTGCTTGGTGCGTGGGCAGTGTCTGGCGCAGCAGATGGGGATAAAGCCCTCTGTCCTGGGCAGCTCCAGCTCTTCCTCCTCTGGTCCTTTCCGTCTGCTGGCTGGAAGAGGCAGCAGCGTGTCAGAATGCCACGGGGATCAGTGAGGAAGCAATTCCAATTATAATTACCTATCCCTGACACTGCTCTGTCTGAAGAGCAGCGAGGAACTTCTCTGCTGCCTTTTCCGCGGCCGCTGAAGCTGTAATCCCGTTTGGAAGCCCCCAAAAGGCTGTTTGATCAAAGCCAACCATCAGATCTCTCCCGAGGAGCCTGGTATTACACGCTACAAGATGCGCCCAGGCGGGTGGCCACTCTGTAATTGCCTGGCTGTGACCCTATAAATATACAGTAATAGCATGTTCTTCCGATAACATGATAATTACGTCGGGAGGTACCGTATCATTCAGGCAGTGCTTACCATGTCACTTGCTGGTTTTAGATCTCATAACACACTGTCAAGGAGGAAATCAGTCAGGCAGTAACCTGTAATTTGCATGTGCTTTCATACCCCATAGCTATTATGGCATTGCCAAGTTGCTCTCCATGTGTGCTTTTAAGGGGATGCCGTCAAGGGCAGGAGGCTTCAGTCTGACCCTTGGAATTGGATTGTGTGGCTTCCTCCACCGTCCATCTCCGAGCTGGTAAAAGCAGACACACAGAGGAGAGGGCAGTGGGAGGTGTGGGCTCCTGTGGGGTTTCCAACAAATGCCTTGCAGGGGGTTTATTCCTCTTAGATGTGGCCACAGCAGAGGGTAAGCGGCTCAGGTGGCTGCCTTGTCCATACAGGGTTTGAAGTGTCAGTGGTTGGGTCTTGACAGCAAACCCCATGGTCAGGGATGAGCTAAAAGGGTGCTTGCACGTTGCACAGTTTGAAGGTAGCTTTACAGGAGCATCTTAAAATGATTTGCAGAGGTAGGTGTATGTTATTCTCATTTTCTGCCTTCGAAGAAGGGGAACAGATTGGCTTAGCCAAGGTGACACAGGAGTTGATGACAGTTGGATATATCCCAGGTTTTACTTGCTTTTAACTACTCCACCGTGGCTGTTAGGCCTCTCTTTGCCTAGTCTCTTTTAAAAATGGTTTTTCAATTAGAAGACTATTAAGGAGAATAGTCATAAAAAAACATCTCTATTTGGTAAGGATTCTCAGTACCCGTTAGTAAATATCCCTGCACAAGATGCAAGGTCTGAAGGGGAAAAAAAAGGCATTTCTCAACCCAAGTCCTGTAACTCCTGGTGTTACAAGAGCTTGTTGGTCACATGTGAGACCTCATGTGAGGTCTCCTGTGCAGCAGCTACATCCCAGCACCCATCTCAGCAGGTGTCCCTGCAGGGGTGGGGGTCCCGGGGGTCCCTGGGTGGCACTGGGTGCGGGTCTGATGGCCATCCTCAGAGGAAGGCTCTCTCCCATGGCCCCGACACCCTGCGACCTGGAACCCCAGACTTCAGCTCTCCTAGGGTCATCCGATTTTGTTCTAAAGGCATTTGCCTATTCAAATAATCTGTTAATAATTGAAATATAAAAACCATGGCAAGCCGCCTTCTTTTTTTGAAGGAAGAAACTGGATAAAAAAGAAAGAAAGGAAAAAAAAAAAAGGATTACAGGAAGCATTTAACCTTTACTGAAATACTGAGGGACCATTAAGCAAGACTTAGAATGAAAGAAAAGGAGACCAGGTTTACAATAGAAAAACATAAACCAGGTCTCAAACACAGAAGAAATAACAGCATGTAACAAAGAATTAGAAGCCCCTTGGTTTAGCACATCCAAATGAAAGATCATGAAGATGAGGTGAAAAGAAGAGGCTGGATGTGGAGCCTATGGCAAAAAAAAAAAGCCACTTCATGAAGGGCAAACTTATCTATGCTTTGAAAATGATTTGGCACGTGTGTTGAATCAAAAATACCTGGACAGCAAAGCATGGAGTGATGTACTTTTGCTGTCTGACATGGAAGGAAAAAAAAAAAAAGAGGAAGAAAAAAAAAGAAAAGACAATGCTATTTTAAGGCTATGTTTTAAATCAGAATAATCTTTGGAAGCAGGATACTGAGTAGCAATTGTCAGCTGGAGAGCTGAATGTCCAGGATATCCCAGCATGAAATTCAGATGGCTTTCTGGCAGCCTTTGCCTTGAAGTAGAAGATGCAGAATAAGTCTGGCAACCTCCAGGCTGAGCACTTGTAAACAACAGATGTTCATAACTGGAATCTTTTGGAGGAGCAGGGCAGGGAGCAGCGGGTATGTCCATGCTTGTAATTCTCAAAATTTA